GGACGCGACACTGAGGGTTGCGATCCGTTGCCAGACACGGAAAAAGACAAAAAGGGAAAAAAAAAAAAAAGAATAAATGGGCACCTTTTTTCTTCGTGAGCACAACAAGTGTTAGTAAAATAATTTCCCCCACTCTCGCTTTCCTCCTTTACTCTAAGATGCGACAATAAGCACGGCCAGAAGCTGCTCCCGGTGCTGGCTGCCAGCTGGCACCGAGCTGTGCAGGGAGACCCTCCCCGTCCACCCCTGCTCTTCCTCTACGGGAAGACGTCTCATTCTGTCACCTCCAAGACCATTCTCAGCGTGAGTCTGGTGCTGCTGTCATGAATTAGGGGTCGACCCCGGGAGCCCCCGCCGCACACTTACCTTTGCAGAGGACTCAATAGAGCTGCAGTCGTCAAACGTCTGGCAAAAGATCGTGGCCAGCCGCCTATCCAGATCTTGAATTTTGTTCTGAAAATCGGTGTAATCATTGTCAAAACTCTAAAAGCAAACGAAGACGTCGACCTTGTGGCATGCAGAGCAGGGCAGGTGCTCTCTCTAAGGCTGACTGCCCTGCTGAGGGTTTGATCTAAGCTGCACACGGTCACCATCATGGGCACCGCTCTACGTGTAGTTTTTGTGACATCTTTTTAAAAGCATTGGGATCGCCCATCCCCCACTTCCTCCCGCGTCTTCCCACTCCTCTGGCATTTGCTTATTGATCCATGCCCGCGGACTCACAGAATCTCCAGGGTCCAAGGGGTCATATCTGCAGTCAGCAAAGACCTTCACCAGGTCAAAGACCTCCTCGTAAATCTGATTCACCAGGTTCCCCAGGATGTTCCCCTTCACGCCCCCAAGCTCGATCTTCTCCAGCTTCAGAAACTCGATAGCTGTTTTATAGAGATCCTGGTGGAGGAAAAGACAACCCAACGCACCGAGTCAATTCCTCTTCATAACCAAACTCAAGGGTCCGGTTATGAATCTAGCTCTGACCCCAGCAAGGAGCAGCCGGGAGCAAAGCGCCCCCAGGCGACATCACGATGGGGGGTGGGGGTGTGCATCTACGATGTTTCCTAGATTTGAACAACAGAGGAGGGGACAGAAGGGAGGGTTCCATGAATCACCTCCAAGTTATGAACTAGAAGTCGGGGAGGAGATGGAGTTTGGGATCTTGTCCAGACCCTGCACCGGCCAAAATGCATCTCTCAGGAAATCGCACGTCACTGGGACCCCTGACTGATCAGCTGCTGGGAGCAGTGGGAAAGGGCACTCGGCATTTCTGACACGCTTGCTGAGCTCTAAGTTCCCGGCCGCTGGAAGACACCCCACCCTGGCAGTGATCTGAGGGGAACGCGGCGGGTGACCGATGGGCATGTGTGTATACGTGCTGCCTCCTCGGGGGGTGGCTTGCCCCCTTCTGCTTGGGCCTTCCCCAGCTCCCAGAAATGCTCTTCTTTCTAGAACCTTGGTTTGCTGTCAGTTCCATTCATTTTTCCATTGAATCACGTCAGACTCATCCCATTAGCTGACGACTCCAGGCGTGGTTCCTTTTTCCCACGCATGGTCCCCAAGGCCCCTCAAGCGCAGCTAGCCACTCGGGCTTTGTCTGCAGCCCTCCATGTGCTGGGTGCAACATCAGGCAGCACTGAGGAGTGAGGGTGCTCGTGTGGAATGGGTGCCTCTCCCCAGCTGGCACCAAGTCAGTGCCATTCTCTCAGAGTCCAAGAGTATCAAGCCGTGAGACCAAAGCAAACCCACGGAAAGGCAAGAAAGCCATGTGGTGGGCTCTTGGGCTCTTCTGCTCAGTGAGGAGGACAAGGTCAGACAGATTGGCAAAGCTGGCATGGCCCATTGGGCAGGGGATGGTCAGTGAGGCCATTGGGCAGGGGATGGTTGGTGAGCCCATTGGGCAGGGGATGGTCGGTGAGGCCACTGGGCAGGGGATGGTCGGTGAGGCCACTGGGCAGGGGATGGTCGGTGAGGCCACTGGGCAGGGGATGGTCGGTGAGGCCACTGGGCAGGGGATGGTCGGTGAGGCCACTGGGCAGGGGATGGTCGGTGAGGCCACTGGGCAGGGGATGGTCGGTGAGGCCACTGGGCAGGGGATGGTCGGTGAGGCCACTGGGCAGGGGATGGTCGGTGAGGCCACTGGGCAGGGGATGGTCGGTGAGGCCACTGGGCAGGGGATGGTCGGTGAGGCCACTGGGCAGGGGATGGTCGGTGAGGCCACTGGGCAGGGGATGGTCGGTGAGGCCACTGGGCAGGGGGTGGTCGGTGAGGCCACTGGGCAGGGGGTGGTCGGTGAGGCCACTGGGCAGTGGATGGTCGGTGAGGCCACTGGGCAGGGGGTGGTCGGTGAGGCCATTGGGCGGGGGATGGTCGGTGAGGCCACTGGGCAGGGATGGTCGGCGAGGCCACTTCCCCCACCTCCAAAGTCTCCTCTTTCTCAGAAACTTCGTGCTGGTTCAGAATCCATTACGTAGGAACCAACAGCTTCTTGACCAGAAACTTGACTGTGACCCACCAAGTCCTCAGGCTGGGAGCCTTCAGGCACGTCTTACATTTCGGAGTCCTACATGGGCCTCCCTGCTTTGCCCCCCAGAGGCTGGGGACGAGAACCAGACAGGCCCTTCACAAGCCACTGCTTAATAGTGCCCATCCTAAAATCAATGTTGGATGCTTCCAGGATGATTTGCTCACTCTTTTTATGATGTGAGTTATATGTGCACAAAGTTTAAAAAAAAAAAACTATGCAGAAGTTTACAGAACAAAAAGCTAGACTTTCTTGCCCTACCCCTGTCACAACCCCTCTCTCCTCTTCTCCCCAGAGATAACCATCTTGAACCATTTTTAAGTTTTAATTTGCTGCAGGTCACTCTGTGTGTTAACACAGAGCTTACGCAGGGTCCTTCTCAAGTCTTCACTTGCAATAATTTAGTCCCACGAACCAACTCTGCCTCCGGCCTCCAGGCTTCCGACGAGTCATTTAACTTGTCAGGAACCCACCCATTGCAGGAGGCACAAGACAGAGAGAGACAACCAAAGTGGGCCGTGATTGTTCTCAGCCAGCAGCTCCAGGCACAGAGAAGGCTGCCCCAAAGCCTCAGTTTCCCCACAACACAGATGTTTGGGCTTGACTTCGAAGCTGCCCACAGCTAGTTTCTTCTAAAGGGGCTAAGGGTGGCAGGTGCAGCTCTGCTCAGGTACAGGCAGGCTGCGAAGTGCAGGTGGAGCTGAACCAAGTTTCATCTTTACCTCAATGGTCTGGACACGGTGGAAGAAGGAATTCATTCTGGAAAATGCAAGAGATGACGGGAATTCCCAAGGCACAGGCTCTTTGTCCTGGAGACAGAGAGAGAGGGAAGGCCGTGTTGGCTTCAAACATTCCCACTTACCCAAAGGCTGGAGACCGTATAAAGCCGGCCTTGTCTTCACCTCGGTTCCTGCTCTGGGAGTCAGGGGTACCTTAAAGAAAAGCTTCATGTTCGCGCAGCAGAAATCGTACGTGCAGTAGAGCTCCTTGAGCACGTTCACGGACAGGGTGATGCTGTTCAGGACCTCCTCTACTTCCCCTTGCAAGCCTTTCAGCACATCATCTGGGCTCAGGAAGGTTCGTATCTGGGCAAAAGAGAACACAGACATCCCAAAGCCCCGTCAAGCCATTTAGGGTAATGACTGGGCACACCATCTGCAGGCCGATTGGCCAATTAGCAGCACTCCACACGGGTACCATGGGGCTCCCAATCGGCTTCTTCTGACACGTGACTGTCCCTTGGGTGCGTGGCCCTACGTGCCTGCCAGCTGCGGGGCTGTTGGGGGGTGGTGCAGGCTGAGCTCCTTCCCTTTCTTGGCCCCTCATCCTGTGCCAAGGATGCAGCAAAAACAAATTTTGGCCACAGATGATGAGTGGCCCTCCAAGGTCGGGGGATTCACAGGTGCCCTCTGTCCTGCAGACAGGGCTGCAAATACGATTTCAATATATGCAGGTGGCCTAGGGTTGCAACCTTTCAACTCAGATGCTCGTGGCTGGCTAATGGGTGCTTGTGAAAGGAAGAAAGAGAGAGTCTGTGTTGAGGGAGATGGGAGTGCAGGACCAGACAGACCCCTCAAAGCCCCTGAATCTTGGGGTGCTGGGAGCCTCGAGGTAGAGTCTCCTGCTCTGTCTTCCACTTCCTTTTCTCCTCTCAAGTCCTGGGGAGAAGTCTAGGTAGCCACCAGGAGGGCTCAAGCTCAGCTTGTGGCCTGCAAACACCCGTCCCAACATCTTGGCTTGTTTTTAAACTCCTGGGGAATGCGGGAAGCAGGGGAACAGAGCAGAACTGGGGAGAGGAAGGCGCCCGCGGGCCGGGTGAGGGTTACCATCTCGATGACTTGGTTGCAGAACTCCTGCAGAATGACAATGATCCTGGAGGGCGTGTTGTAGTGCTCGGAGGTGGCCCAGATGAAGCAGATAGTGTCCAGCACCTTGGCAATGAAGGTCGGGAGCTGGGGAGAGACGGACCCAGGCGTGCTACAGAGGACCAGCTTCCGGACCTTGTCACAGCATCTCAGCCCTCCCTTGCCCAAGGCTCATGCTGGGCCTCCAGGAGAGGGTCCCCAAGAGGATGGAAGAGGCGACTCCCCAGGCCCATGCACCTGGTTACAGCCCCCTGCACCCGCAGACAAGAGGCCCCCCAAAGTGAGCGTTTCTTGCCAGCATACCGATGTGAAGTCGACCTGCTCCATCTCCTCCAAGAGGATGCGCAGGGGCTTCAGGTACAGGACAATGTCGCTGGCTTCCTTCAGCCCTGCACGGAGCAAGAACAGGTGCTCAGCAGCGAGTGAGAGGACACCGGTCAGAGACGACAAACTGGCAGCTCTGGGTGTCTCTTGACACCTGCTCCTTCAAGAACCAGGGTCTTTCTCAAAAGGAGGGGGCTGGGGAAGCTGCTTATGGGGGAGGCGCAGGCCGCACCCCACAGGGTTGGTGACGGGCACAGCCTTCCAAGAAGGCTTGGGCAGCTTCATCAAAGACCTCATGGGCAGGGTCATGGGCTCACCTTCAGTGACATTCATATAGACATTTTGCAAGGCTGGCCAGTAGCAGCTTTTGGCTTTTTCCAGGATCTCCACTATTTTATTCACTTTGGGTCTGTTTAGCTGAGAAGGAGAGAAGAAGAATATCAGCCTTCCGATGGAGCCCACAGACCCTAAGACGAGGGTGACCTGGCCCTGTGGCTGGCTAGAGCAGGTCATCGGGCCCCTCAGCGTCCCTGTGGGGTCCGCACCGAGAGGCCGAGCCCTCGCCTGCCGCCCGGCTGGGATGTGGCTGCTGACCCTGCTCTCGGCCCTACCTGCTCATGGATGCACTTGAGGTTCATCAGCCGCGCGTCCCAGAACTCAAACTCGACCCGGGGTAGGGGGTGCAGCCCGTCCAGCAGGGCCTGGGCCGAGTCTTTGCTCAGCACGTCCCGGATTTGGTGAGACCAGTTGATGATGATGGTTTCGATGGCGTGCAGGAGCGAGTTGTCCAGGGAAGACGGGATCCTGCCCGGCAGAGGTTGGGGCAGATGCTCTCATGGCCACATGAACCTGGGTCCACCGAGCTCCGCCCCTCCCCCAGCAGCCTTCAGCCGGCAGACCCTAAACCACCAGCAACAGCCCCAGGTCTGGCCTCGGGCCTCTGGTACCTCCCAGCCCCTAAGAGAGGCTGAAGTTTCTCAAGCCCCCCAGCTAGGAAGAGACCCTGAGCAGACAATGGATGTTGTCCGAGGTTCCAGGGCCCGAGCTCTCGTCTGAGAAAGGGTGGGGGGGCAAGGACTGTGGAATGAACCCTATTCGGGACGGCTCCTCCAGGGGATTCTTACAGGGTGTTTACAGGGCACGTTTTGGGAGCCTAGTGGACGAATGGAGGACTTGCCCTAGAGCCCCTAGGAGCGGTCTCCTATGAGTGTGTGGTACAAGCTATCACACCCATAACCGCTCCCAGAGTCTCACGTGCCAGTTGCAAACGGTGGCTGGGGAGACGCCAGGGGAAACCTTAGAGTCCCTTGTCCATCCCAGGGCATCTGGAACACCACCACCTTTCCGTGGGCTCCCATCCACCTGCCGATCCCTTCCACTCCCTCTCAGTGCCCACATCTAAAGCTGAGCAGTCTGTCTCCTGGCTATGTTGACACGTGTCATGTCTTTCCTGTACTGGACCGGTACACATGCATGATCCGGAGAGGACTGGGGCACAGGCCGGTTGTTTCTGGGCATTGATGCTGCTCAGCCGTCACCGGAGATGGAACCCTATGGCCCCAGGGCCCCTTCCTTCTTGCCCTGGCACGTGTCCCTCAGCCTCAGCACCACCTAATGGCACCATGTAAGGGCACCCCCTTGCCCTCATGTGTGTTTCATTCACTTCAAAATGCAAAACCAGTTGGCAGTGAGAGTCTGCCACTCTCGGTCAGGGCTCAACACTCCCTGGGCATCTGGCGACGCGAGGCGTGGGGCCCTACCTCTCCATGGACTCCAGCGTGCCATCCAGGCTGCCCAGGTGCTCCGGGACGGGCAGCAGCGTTTTCCCTTTGATCTTGCCCCCCATCACGAACATCTCGTTCTTCAGCCTGTGCACTTGTTTCACGATGTCTTCCGAGACCACCCGGGGCCATCCGTCCATGTTCTCACTTTGGTTTAACAGAGAGTAGAGGACCTGAAAGGAGATGCTTCTGTAGTTCTGCCTGAGCCTCCGCCAGCTCAGCCACCCTGAGATCCAAGCCCCCAGGAGGATTCAGAAGACCTCGGTGCTCGGAACCTGGGAAGGCCAAGTCCTCCTTCCAGAAAGAAGAGGGAAGTTGGGGAGTTTAGAGCAAGGGGGACAGCCCGGCTCCCGTTCTTTGTAGGGGCGAAGCCATCTCCAGGAAGGGGGACCCCAACTTCTGCAACAATAGACACACTCCCTGTGAAAGCAAGTGTTACGTGCTGTGATGGGCTGAGTGTGTCCCCCAAATCCATGTGCTGAAGTCCTTACTCCCAGCACCTCAGAACGTGACTGTATTTGGAAGTGGAGTATTTAAAGAGATAATTAAGTTAAAATGAGGTCATTAGGGTGGACCCAAATCCAATGAGACTGGTGTCCTTATAAGAAGAGAAAATTAGGACACAGACACACACAGAGGGACAACCACATGAAGACACAGGGAGAAGACAGTCACCCGCAGCCAAGGAGAGGGGCCTCGGAAGGAACCAACCCTGCCCACACCTTCATCTAGGACTTTTGGCCACCAGAGCTGTGAGAAAATAAATGTCTGCTGCACAAGGCGGGGACATGGGTCCCCATTCTACAGGTGAGGACCAGGAAGGCTAAGGTAAGGAACTTGAACTCTAACCAGTCTGACTCCCCAAAGCGTTCCCCACCCCTGCCACACCTCCTGAGAGTGTCACTGGGGAGGATGCAGGACTGCGGAGAGATGCAGAAAACGGCACCCCATTTTCTCTCTTTTTTTTTTAACTCAAAGTCTCAGAATTGGGGAAACTTTCTACTAGTACTGGGGTAGCCCACACTTTCTGAGCCCCTCACAGTACGGCGGTTCTAATGACGCCAAGAGAGGACAGGGTGATGGACGGGGCTTCTCACAGGTCAGGTGCACAGCATCACCTGGAGGTCGTCTCAGCAGGCCCAGGGCGGGGGGCCCGAGCTCCTGCTTTTCCAACCAGTCCCAGGTGCTGCTGCTGCTGGAGCGCACCCGGCCTGGACCCACGCACCTCCTCCACGACCGCAATCAGCTGGTCCACCGGTGTGGGGCTTATGTCCCCGTAGAGGAGGCGGGTCTTGTAGTTGTCCTTGTTAATGGCCTCAGGCTTCGTCTTGATAAAGTAAACCCCTTTGGATTTGAGGGATTCCGGGAAGCCCAGGCAGGGTATGATCATGCCGGCAGGGTTGAGCGTCAGCACCAGAACTGAGACCTCCGGCTTTTCCCAGAACTCTGAGATTAAGGCCATGT